AAGAAGAAATTCTAAAAAGGATCTCACCAGGGCCAACTACAGTTAAAGGATTATTTCAGAGTTGTGCTAAATGCATTATCTTATCTATTTGCAATACTGCTAGGAGATAGAGATGCCAGTCTCTTCTTATTTAAAAAGGAGTAGAAGCCCACTAAGACTTCTGCTGTGGAAAGGAGAGCACTTAGGAAAACTGCCTTCTAATTTTTAAGCAAATTACGAGTTTTGATTTGTGCTTAGCGGACCATTGCATCTGGTCATTAAGAAGCTGGATGCTCAACTTCAATAACCAGATGGATACTCTGGTTCAATTAAACTGGGGTCCCATTAATGAAATAAGATCATTAGAGACCCCACAATTCTCTGCAGACTAACAGTCATTAGCTAATGTGTACTAGGAATTGACAGAGTGAACAGAGAACATTGGGTTTTGGGAAACACAATTATCTTATTAATTTCATTAGTGCTCTTGATCACGCTACGTGACATTCAACAAAACGCACTAAGTTTTAAGGTTCCCTCTTTTGCTCAAGTGAACATAGTAGAAAGCATCCATAGGAAGCAACTACTTCTTTCTGTGGCAGCTTCACTGGGCTCTCAGTGTGTGCATTTATAATAAGATACACAATTGGCATGAGTACTGTGCAGTCAATTATAGGAGCACACAGTCATTTTCTCACGCAATTCCAAATCTCATCATGGGGAATCCATTTTTCAGACAGAAACAAAAACAAGTAGTTGAAATGAAGAAATATCTCCTGGCTTTTCCAAGATTAGAAAGTCTGCCGTTGGGCATTATTCATTAGCTGCACCTTTCAAATAAAATATTTTATATAGAGAAAAATAATAATTATTATATTCACTCATAGTAAGTTTTAAAGTCCACAAATGACAAAATTAGCAACTGAAAAGTATTTGTAGAAAGAGAACCACAAAGTTCAATGTACAGTAACCTCTTCCCATCCCCGGGGATACGTTTCAAGACCCCCAATGGATGCTTGAAACTATGAATAGTACCAAACCACATATATACTGTTTTTTCCTGTACATACACACCTCTGATAAACTTTAATTTATAAATCAGGCACAGTAAGGGATTAATAGCAACAAGTGATAATAAAATAGAACAATGATAACAACATGGTCTAACAGAACTCATGTGAATGTGTTTTCTCTCAAAATATCTTATGGTGCTGTACTCAACCACTCTTACGATGATGTGACATGATAAAATATCTACATGATGAGATGAAGTGAGATTAATGATGTAGGTGTGTGACCTAGCATTAGGCTACTACTGACTCTCTGAGGATACATCAGAAGGATGTGAACCACAGGTGACTTAAGGTAACTGAAACTTCAGATAAAAGGGGACTACTGTATTTTCATGTAATCTTAGTTGCCTTGCACGTGCAATGGGATTTACTTTAAGAGGAACAATCATAACCCTTATGGTTATAAAGGAATAGAAACTGGGATTCACAGGGCAGGAGAAGTTTGCTATTAGATGATGATTATTAATTTTCTGTATAAATGACTCAAGTTGACTATTATTATGAACTGAGAGCTCATGCATGGAATTTACAAAATATATACTAATATCCTCTTCTACAAGCTGGGATCAAGTATGGCCTATGAAAAAGTTTCTGTTTAATTATAATATTGAGTTAATGATGCAATTAATATTTATTCAAATTCCTTTTTAATCTCAGGCATTACACATGTCCTTGAACTTTAAATTAAAAAAAAAAGACACTAAAAAAATCTGGATGTAGACTTGCATTTTCATTTAAAGACACAATTAATTCTTAAAACATTAAGCTAGAGAGATAAAATAAGAAAGAATTCACAATTGCTCTTAGAGTTATCTGATAGGCTTTACAGCTTAGTCATTACTGTTACTGAAAGCATTCACAGCCTATTAGATACAGAAAGAGTGTTTGGTTACCAAAAAAACACTCTTGCTCATTTCATTCTGTGTTGAATCTTCGATTAAGATTGATTTGTGACCTGAGGTGTTTACAGTGGCTGTCTGGTTAGCGAGATCTTTTTCAACCGTTTCTATATTTTCTAAAGGTTCTTTAATGAATATGGGTTATATGTATTCTCTGTCTATCCCTCTCTCTAAAGATAGATAGTGTCTATAAAAAATATATAATTTCTTACTACTTGTGCCCTGCGCTACCAAAATGCTTTGCCTAATGTTGGCAATTATGGAAGCAGGTGACAGGGACATGGGGGTTTATTAGTCTTCACTCCACTTTTCTGGAAGTTTGGAAATTTCGTAATAAAGGGTTTAGGAATATAATGTCTATTTACACATAGTCCCCTGCCAGGGTTTAAACTAAAAAAATTACAAAATAGGTCCCAAATCTCTAGGAATATACAATTTAGGACATGTAATGCTGATGAGGACCGACATATAGAAAATATACCAAGAATAAATGAAAACAGGATAAACAGAGAGAGTGCAACAGTCCATTTCTGTAACTCATTCATTTCATCAGGCTAGCTCCTTTCCCTGGCTTCTGCTTTGACCTCTCTCAAACTCTGACCCTGTTCTCTTCCCCATCTGTTACCTGGGAATCAACAAGTCCTGTCTGTGTCTTCCCTGCAGCATCACTCAGGGTCATCACTTATCATGCAGCCACTGACACTATATGCTCAGATGGCTGTAAAGACATCTGAGTTGTAATTCTTAATCTCTGGTCTTACCTGACCTAGAGATTCATCTTGAATCTTGATGTCAAATTCATCTTCCTAAAAAAGGCATTACTGTGTCTCTACTTGAGGAAAGCAGGAGGCACACTCTTCACGTGTTCTTCTCATCCAGCCATTCTGCCTACTGAGACCATTCCTCTTACTTATTAATCCCTCAGAAAACTCAGCCATGCATTTTGCTGTCTCCTTGTCTTTGTTGAGTATTCTGCACCATCTTACACTTCCATAAATCTTACATTTACTTATAATAAACAGTTATGCAAGTATTTATTGAATACTTCCAAGACCTACTTCTTTCTCCATAAGTACCTTACTATGACCATCATTTCACTTTCCTCGGGATTATTTCCACGTGAGTGTCAGCTGAGCCACAGGACCTTTGTTTGGGTAAGTGATCCAGTGGTTCTCAACTCAGGCTGCATATCAGAATCACTGAAAGCATTTAAAAAATATCCATCCAAGGCCAATTAAATCAGAATCTCTGGAGATGAAGCTTAGACATTAGGAAAAAATAGTATTTTACATAAGTTATTTTTAAAATGTCCCAGATGATTCTAACAAACAGAAAGTTGAGAGCTACTCAGCTAAAGAATACTAGGTTTCTTTGTTTTTTAAAAAAGTTTTTAATGCTTTTTGTTTTTTTAAATTAGTTTTGAGAGAGAGCGAGCAAGCATGAGCAGGGGAGGGCAGAGAAAGAGGGAGACACAGAACTGAAAGGCTCCAGGCTTTGAGCTGTCAACACAGAGCCCAATGCGGGGCTCAAATCCACAAACCATGAGACTGGTGACCTTAGCTGAAGTTGGATGCTTAACTGACTGAGCCACCTAGAATATTAGGTTTCTTGATTTGTATATACTGTTTGTTCATTTGGTAAGTAGCTATGGGTGTTTACTACAGAGTTGAAAAACTGGCAGCCATGGCATGGTTTGTTAGGCTCACTGAGTCTTCTCAAAATATTTCAGATTTTAGACAATATTTTGAATTTGGAAGACTTCTAAACATGGAGACACTCAGCTTCTCTTGAAAAAAAAAAAAAAAAAAAGGAAGCTCTCATGAGACTGTGCCTGAATTCTTGTAAGACAACACTTGGCTAGAATGGAACTGCAGTCTCTCTTCCACCTGGAAAATGAGCTCGTTTGCTGCAGTCCTTACCACTCCCTATTGCTTCCTCACAGGGGCTGAGTGTTAACTACCATTTTTTCTATCATTTGCATAGTTGTCAATGTTACTGTTTTAACAGTAGGGAACAATTTCTTTGAAGCATTACCTCACTTCTCTTCCCTGACAACCCCTTCTACTCCCAACAAGACTCACTGTTGAGTAGAAAATATTTCTATGTGTCAAATATCCTGGCATCCAGCCCACTTTATTCATTTATATTATCTGACTGGCCTTCACAGTAATTTGGGTTTGCAGCCCCTGGCTTCCAAACACAATGGCAAACACTGTGTTGGATGCTACAGACATAGAAGAATGAGGCACAGTGTCCTTTCTCGAGGAAGTTACACTTTATTGGGAACTATAGACATATTAAAAAGTATTGCCAAAAAAAAAAAAAGGGAAAAAATTCACGGAAAGAGAACAGTGCTTGTTAGAATCAGGAAAGACTGCTCAGAAGAGGTAGCATTTGAGTTGTATCTAAAAAGATGAATCGGGAGCTTTTCCAGGCAGAAACCAAAGACGCCGTTTTAGGCCAAGAAACGGTAATCTCCAAATACGACTGTGTACAAGCCCACCCAAAGTGGTCAGAAGGTCACACACAGGGTGTGAGAGATGAAACTCTGGAGTAGGCTGGGCTAGGGGAGGTTGGCTTTGTGTGAGTTCCCAAGGGGTTTTTCATTTTGTTTTCTAAAATAGTGTGAAAGGGTATTAAAGGTCTTTAATCGAAGGGCGACAGGATCACATTTCTATTTCTATAATCAGAAAGATAATTCTGACAGCAACGTGGAGATTAACTGGTAGGCTAGGGTGAGCCACAGTGGGGACCTACTCAATGAGAGTAGCGATAGGATAGAGCAGGAGACAGTTTAGGAGGGACAATTGGCTGGGCTTGGAAGCTTGCAGGGAAAGGAGAGGAGTAAGCAATTTGGTATGTAAAATCTGAGAAAGTATTTTAGTTGCTAAAGAGAAATTTACAATGATTTATCACAGACATGGGTCGATGTTGGAGTGATTTAATATTTAAGTTCAAGCGATAAAGCATCATTGCCATGCTGTTTTTTCCTTTTATTTTTTGGTCTTATAAATAAAAATGCTTATAATTTAGGTGCCTGAGTGCATACCTGATTCTGCTGATTTCAGGGGATGACCTCCAAATTTTATTTCAGTTTGGCGGAGCTTAGTCATGTTTAGCAGCTGCGTGACTTGTGGAACATCCGTCGTCAGCTGGCAGCTTCGTGGAATGATGTCTGTAGGTTCATCTGTTGGAAAGGGAACCCCACATCCAGCTGAAAACAGAGGCAAACATTCGTTTCCCAAATGTAAGTCATTTTTGCCAAACGGACATACCTTACAAATGAAACCAATTAAAGTAAAACATTTTTAGAGTGTAACTCTGAACGAGTTACATGACCTTACAGCCTTGGCTTTCTCATTTGTAAATGAGTGTTGTAATTGCACTGCTTACTTTCTAGGACTCTATAAAACATTAAATGAGATACGGCGTATAACGTAAACAGCTGGCTCAGAGACTTGTTCAATAAATGAGAGCCATCACTGGATATATTTTACACTTACATTTCAATACTAGAAATGTGACTCAAGAAAAGATCTAGTTAGGGGTGCTCTGAATCAGATTTCTGGGAGTACCCTGGCTCATTTATACAAGATTAGTACATGCAATGATGTAATTGAATAAGCATCTAGAGCCTCTATATGAATAAAGTCATTTTTTACCTTTTTTATATTGAAATAATTTTAGGTCTATAGAAAAGTTACAAAAATAGTACAGAATTCCTAATACCCTTTATCCAGCTTCCCCAAATGTTAACATCTTACCTTTGAATATTTTCAAAGAAAGAACAGTTTATTAAATTAAAATATTTTTTTATTGTAATCTGTATTTCTAATGAGATTTGATATTATTCATACATACTTATGTGGATATGCAAATTTTCAGCTTAGTAAATCTGTTCATGTTCTTATCCCATTTAGGTATGAGAATACTATTGTCTTATTTATTTGTATGTACGACCTCTTTTATGGCAGAGATATTAAGCTTCGTCATATGGTAGCAAGCAGGAATTAAACTGGTATTAGCTCCAAAAAGCAATCTTACTTTATGTATAAAAGGCCTTAAAAAAGTACATGCCATTTTTCTCAGTAATTTCACTTTACAAATCTTTTCTAAAGATGTTCTAAAAGAACATCAGAAACTCAGATGAAGATCTCTGTAAATAGGTGTTTATAATTTCTGAAAAATAAACACCTGTATTACCAGTAAAGAACCACAAGAAATCCTATTTGTGAAGATAGCTTAATGATATGGGAAAGACTTGTGATAGGAAGTTAAATGAAAATAATATATATAAAACTCTAACTTACTGTAGAAAATCAATAAATAAAATGTGTGAACGGCAAAAAGGCTAAAATGAAATATACCAAAGTGTAAAATAACTTTTGATGGTTTAGCTTAAGTGTAGGTTTTATTTTCTTCTGCATGAAAATGTCGATAGGTGTTTAGTTTTTATAAGTAAAATTTCTAATTTTAGAATCCAGTGGAAAAAATTTGTGCGTGTATATGTGAATGTGAGTAGTAAGGAAAATTCAACCAATCATCCCTTGAAAAACATCCTATGTAAGTATAAACTCTAATCACGTTTATAAAGGCAAATGATGTTAGGTTTATGTGCACCCGAGCCATGGCAGTCTCCTAATTAGATCCCAATGTTCTAATCTTTAAAAGGAAATGAATCATTTAACTAAAAACTTAAATACTCATCAACAATGTATTGGTTTCTAAGTGTCCTAATGTTCCAGTCATTAAAAATGCAGTAGATTTACAAATCTTAGTTTTCAGGTGTTCTTTGTTGGTCCATTTCTTATTTGTCATCAACATTTAGAAAATCAATATAAAGTAGTTGAGTAAATAAACTCTCGAGATAGAAAACATTTGGAAAAATAAGTAAACGAACTCCAGATACATATCTGACATATCAATTCAAACTCCTCTGAGGTAGAAAAAGATAGTTTCCACATCAATGCCAATATTGATAAACTAAGATTTTATATTAAAAGAAGCAGAGAAGGTTAAAAGGCCCTGAAATAAAATGCTGCACTGTCAATCATATAAAGACAAGTCATAGAAACTTCAGCTTTTAGGGATTGTGTGGATGGTACAGGGTACAATGCCACACAAAGTTTGAAATGTATCCAAAACAAAATCTGAGTTTCTAACTAATGAGAAAAAACCAGCTAACGCCTAGGGATCAAAAATCCAAGGCAGAGACTGTTACAAAACTCCAATCTGAATTTTACAGGAGTGTGGTTGACATGCAAATCAGATTTTACAGTAAAAGGCTGTGTCATCTTTCCTTTCTATGGATCTACTCTCCCTTTGCACCCACAACTGTCTCACTACTTATTAGACTGTTCATTGAGGGAAACTGTGGGCAGTATAAAACCTGAAATAAAAGGAGAAATCAAAGAAAAACTATTGGTTTATTACTTTAAAATGAAGACTAATTACTAAGCCCATTTAGCAACTACTAACTCTCCCACTTTGTGGAGGAATACATGGATAGGACCTTTAGTCTCATTTTTGTGAGACCAAACTATGAAAGAGCTTCACAACCTGGTAGTTGGATGTTCTGATAGACCAGAGGGGAAGTTAACTCGGCTCCCCACCACCCGTCTCACCAATAAATAGCCCTTCCTCATGTCCAATTACTAGGTCACTTTATTTTATTTTTTAGCATTCATGGCTTAATTAAAAAAATAAGAAATCTAAAAACAGCATTGATCCTACATAAAAACTAAATACTGCTAAACTGTGAGTACACAGAGGGCATGGCCTGCCTTCATTTATTGATTTACTCATTTCATCATTCAGCAAATACTTATTGAGCTTCTACTATGTGTCAGGTGCTTATCTATAGTGGCTGGGAATCTAGTCAGAGTGACTCTGTCCCTGGTCTTCTTGGAAACTCATACCTAGTAGAGAATATGAAACAAATTATAAATAATTATTTAATTATATTTTGTTAAATGCTCTGAAAGAAAAGTTTAAGATGTTGAAAGAGGTAATGGGAGTCAGAGAAAGTCTTTTCTGATAAAGAGCCATTTAAGCTGAGTCATATAAGATAAACAGAACGTGCAGATGAAGTAGATGGAGCGATCATTCAGGTGGAGGGAACACAGCATTTGAAGACTCAGAAGGCAGAAGGACTCTAGCGCATTCTAGGAACTGAAAGAAAGACAATTCTACCAAAGGATTCTTAGTATGGGAGAGAGAACGGTGAGAGAATACGGTGATGTAATTAGCACAGCATCTGGCTCAAAGGGGATGCTCAGTAAATGGTCATGGTCATGGATGAAAGCCCCTTAAAACAGCTGACCTAGATTACAAGCAGCTGCCAAGTCCTCCATTTTTCGTCTTTGGTTGTTCTTTGCTCAGCTATATCCTAAGAAGTACGCCATGCACATATTCTTTGGATACCCTATCTTCCTCTCCAGATGGCAAATAACAAATCATGCTAGTAATCAGACACTAAGGGACCAGGGACTACCTGCATTGTTCTTACAAACAAGCTGCGTCTTCTGTAACAGGCTGTGTATGGAAACACGCAGACTGCTTGATTAATGTTGGACAATGACATAGTCAAATTTTATAGTACTTTTGCTAACAAATCTGAAAGAACATAATGTTGGCTGGAGGGGTCAGCTCAAAATGGCAAAATGGTGCATGAAGGAGAAGGCTATAAGAAAACTGACAGATCTGCTCATGCAGCATTGAAACACAACCGGATGGTGGGATTTTTTGCTATCTTTGCTCCCAGTAGGAGTCAGAATGTTTGAGTGACTCTGTAACCCTGTTCGGCTTTCTTTGGCCATAATGGCATCATAAAATGAATCATTCTGTAGGCGCTGAATACCTTTATTGAGGACCTTAGCTAGCTTTAAAAATTAGTCATCAATTTTAATACATATATAAAGCACTTTATGCATTAAAAATCATCACCCCCATTTTATTGGCAGGGGAATGCCTTATAAAATAGTGACATTTATTTAATTTTTTAATGTTTATTTACGGGGGGGGGGGGAGGAGCAGAGAGAGAGGGAGAAAGAATCCCAAGCAAGATCCAGGCTGTCAGTGCAGACCCTGATGCAGGGCTTGATCCCACCAACTGTAGGATCATGACCTGAGCTGAAATCAAGAGTCAGATGCTTAACCGACTGAGCCACCCAGGTGGCCCTAAAGTAGTTAAGTTTATAGATGTATCAGTTCCTGAGTTCTCCTAATTCATATAATTTAAATAAAGAATTTTTTAATAGTTCAGTGGTCTGAGACTCAACCATATTCATCTTATTTATCTGGAACAGCCTGTAGCACCTAGCACAGTGATTAAATACATAATCTCACCTCTCTGAAACACCAGTGAGAGCCAAGTAAAAACCACAAAAGTCTAACTGCCAAAATATATGTGTCTTAAGTTTGTTTGGGCTGCTATATAACAGAACACCATAGACCGGGTGACTTAGAAACAGCAAAAATTTATTTCTCACAATTCTGGAGGCTTGGAAGTCCAAGATCAAGGTACTAACAGACTTGGTGTCTGATTTGGGCCCTGTTCCTATTCCTGGTTCAGAGATTGTGGTCTTCCTACTCATACCTGACATGGCGGTAGAGGTGAGGGAGCTCTCTGGGTCTCTTTTATAAGGGCACTAATCCTATTCATGAGGGCTCTACTCTCATGACCTAAACACTCCCAAAGGCCCCCATCTCCAGACACCATCACATTGGGGATTAGGTGTCAACGTATGAATTTTAGGGGGACACAAACATTTAGTCTTTAACAATACTGCTACAAAGTCTTTAATTTTTGTTTGTTCATTTACTCATTTGCCATGTAAGTGTCAGATTTTTCTCTGGGCCTGACATAGGTTTGAATCTCTGCCTTTATGGAGCTCACTGTATAATGCAGAAAGAGATTAAGAAACAGTATAATATAGTGGTTAAAAGCACAGCTCTGAATCAAGGCATCCTTGGTTCACATTCTAGTTCTATCACTTATTAGCTGTCTGGCTTTGGCATGCTAATTTACCTTGCTGTGCCCTGGTCTCCTTATCTGTAAAACATGGATTTAAAAAATAACGCTAAACTTATAGGGTTATTGTGATGATTAAAAAAATTAATGTATATGAGGGCCTAAGAACAGTGTCTGGTACGTATATAAGTGGTCACTCTTAATAACAAAGAGTTATGTCAATTATTTCATTATAATGGACA